ATTGACCAGGAAACATTTTTGTAGTTGATACCGAATTACTCTACCTAGGTAGTTCGAGCTCTCGTCCTTGGAGACATTATATAGAGCACACCGAGCCATGTTAAAAGATCTACTGAAGCTTTGTATTAATTGCATTGAATACACAACGTATTTGCTTTTTGAACCCTATTTTTACATCTGTACTTGCCAGGACTATCATCAATCTCTTCTAGTGATTTTTCACAGCACGTGATATGAGCTTTCCTCCGATATTTGTGAACTAATCGAAATCACACGACAAGATATATTATCCACCATTTAACTCAGTGCACTTGAGAATCACATCTCAACTGTTCGGTTCGAAATCAAGATCAATTAAGAAAGCAAAGAAACTTACGGCAGACAAGCTTTATTACAACACTTTTATTAAGATAACATGCATATTCCAAAGCACTTGGCACTTGTAAAGTCGGTCGAAACAAGATGTTCAAAAGTAGCAATATCTCATATTTTCAACCTTGGTCGACACATCAGATGTTCAAACCTTAGCAAACCTCAATTTTCAGTTCGTATATTCAGTTGAAATAAAGAAAATGAAATTAAATAAATCATAAGTGTCTAGTGCCATGGAATGAATTATAATCTCAACTCAACAAATATGAACTAATCTAGTACTCCGGAGAACACGACTACCCATAAAGAGTAACCGGATGCGAACAAAACTGACAACACGATGCACATTATATATGAAGAAAGGCGTTAAATGGATCATCAATCAGTCGAGGTCAGGTTCGGGAGCTTTTGGAGGAGCGGAGGGAGCAGGGCCGCTGCCCGCACCGCCACTACCACATCCCGAATCACCGCACTTGGCACCCATAGGACATCCGCCAGGTCCACCAGGTGCCGCACCACCTCCAAACATTCCAGCCATTCCAGGCGCCTTAATGTCTGCAAAGGAAAGCAATGATATGCTTGCACTTGGGATGAGTTAACAATAATTGTTACTGAGAAGAAGTGTTTTAATGATGTAAAGAGCTCAATATTGACTTAAGCGACATAATTCGAAGTTTTTCGAGAGCAGGAACATCAGGAAAAATTTGAACAGCCCATTCACTTTCCCTTCAAGTGGAAGCAAGGGACAACTCAACTCATTAAGTTCCCGTACCAAAATGTTCGCATGAGAATCTCAGCTC